ATATATATATATATATATATATATATATATATATGTTATAATTGTCATTTGATTATAGAATTTAAAAATGAACTTTTAATTTGAAATTTAAATTGAATAATAAAATTCGTTCCAAAATTTAGATAGCAATATAACAATTTATATTAATGTTAAAACAAAAATTAATGCTAAAATTTTCATTACAATAAGAAAAATAATTCGATGGAATTTAGAATAGTAATTATTTGGATAAAATATCGAAATATCCTCTAATTATCATCATTATCATCATCATCATCATCATCATTATCGTCTACAATAGCCATTAACATCATTATCCCTGTTAATTATTATCCATTTTTTTTTTTTAAATCCAAAAGGATTCAAAATTTAATCAGCAATAATTACACCCAAAATGTTTACCTGTGTTGCTACCATCATTACAGGTATTTCATTAATATTCCGATATTTGGCCATTTGTTCGTAATATCGCAATGCGATTTCAATACTTTCTTGACTTTCTAATGAAAATACAAAAATTACCGCGTCTACCCACTGTGCAAACTGAAATATACAAAAAATTTTAAAATGTTGAATAAAATTTTTCAAAAAAAAAAAAAAAGCTTTTTTATAAAATGATTTGATGAAAATTTTAAAAATTTTTCAAGAAGAAAAGCTTTTTAACAAATGATTTGATAAAAAATTTAAAAAAAAAAAAGAAAATGCTAATGCTATTGTTGATGACAAATATTAATTAAATGATTTGATTAGAAATTAAAAAATGTGATAGTAACAAAATAATCGAATAAAATTAAAATAATGAATGTTATGTTAATATTATTATTTTCATTTATTCAATACAAAATGATTGAGTAAAAAAGGAAAAAATAATTTTTTATAAATAAATGATTAAAATATGAAATTGAAATAATAAAAAAAAATCAGTAATGAAATTGGATGAAAAAATTTTTGAGAAATATTTAACAGAAAAAAAAAAGAAAAGAAGAAATAAGAGAGAAAGAGAAAAAAAAGTAGGAAAGATTTGTAATTACACCAAATTTATTAAATGAAATGTAAAAGAAAATGATAATAATAATTTCTTGATTTTCATTACTTTTTTAATTTTTGATTTATTATTTTGAGTATACAATTATAATTTAATTTTTAGCATTACTATATGAATGAGACATTTTTATAAATCTTAATGAAATAAAATAAAGTGATGAATGGTGTTGTGGTAAGGTGGGGTAAAATAATGAGGGTGACAGATGGATAAAGCAGAATGGGGAAGGGTTAAATTGTAGAAAATTATCAAATATTTGGATTTAAAGAAGACAGAGGGAAAGGAAGATGATAGAGGGATAGAGGGAAAGGGAGAGGGATGGAGAAAGAGAGAGGGAGAAAGAGAGGGAAAGAAATATTGAAAATTTACAATCAATCAGTCAGTACCTGACATTATATATTTTGGCGGGTGTAATAAAATGGACAAAAAAAAAAAAAAAAAGAAAATTCGGGAAAGAGCGAAATAATTATTCAAATAGAAATTATTTATAAAATTTGGTCGAAGTATGCATAAATTTGATTTATTACCAATGAAATGATCAAATAATTAATTAAAAAAAACTAATTAATCAAAATAAGATCGATGATTTTGGGAGAAGAATACTTCAATTGTGGTATGAAATTTTAATTTAGAAATCAAAAACTAATGTATTGATTAGAATTAATGAAAAATTATTATTATTAAAATTCTGTGAATTTTGAAATGTTTTTTTTTTTGTTGTTGAAAATTTAATTAATCAAAAGATTTTCATTTTTTCATTCATAAAATTTACATTCTAAAATTTAATTACCAGAAATTGAAGCCAAAAAAAATAAATTTAAGTAATGAATTTATTTTACTTTTGTTTTATTTAAGTAATTTAATTTATTTTTTAATAAATTTAAGTAATTTAATTTATTAGTAATTTATTTATGATCGAGAGAGGGAAAAAAACACATTTTATATAAACTAATTATCGATTTTAAAGTGCAAATTTAGACAAAATTTAAACGCTAAATTTCCGGTTTTTAATTAAATTTCAAAAGTAAAAACAAAAAATATCACGAAAGAAAAAAAAGGAAAAAACCTGATAATCAGGTGGAGCACTTCCTTCGTCACGTATAAGTAATAGATAACTTTGACCGTCAAGTACTACTTCCTTCTTGAAACGTCCACCTAAAAGGAATGATAAATATGACAAAAAAAAAGAAAAAAATTTAAACTAAAAAATACAAAAAATACAAAAATTAAGATGAAGAAAAAAAAGAAATTATCGAAATATTAAAAGTACAAAAGGTCAAAGTTT